TGAAGCAAATTCAAAAGATCCCACATAGCCTTAGAGCCAAAAACCAGTTGAGAAATTAAGTTAAAATGGCCGTTTCACTATTTCAGTTGAAATTCATGCCAGCATCAGATCTGAATGTGGCTAATCCTTCACGAATTAGCTTGACAGTGACCCACTGGACAATTTGACTCAATTGGCAGGCTTTCCTCCTAGAAAGTCCAATACTGGAACCGCAAAACAGATGCAAACTGAAAGACCTTGGCATAAATGTGGCAACTAATTATCAAAATCATAAGGGGGGGACTGGCAACCCAAACAAAAGTGCATTAATAGAGCTGTTGAAGGAGGTCTGGAAATTGGACAGCAAGAATCGGCTGACATTGAAACTTCACGTAAAAGATGACGTGAATTCACCTGTAAGAATTTGCCTGTTCTTCTGAAGGGTACTTTACCTTTGGAACATCCTCTCTGAAGGAAATGTGTTTACAGTAGATACACATTCAGTGCTTATCTTTAAAGGACAATTGTGACTTCTGTGTAGCAACCACACTGTTCTATTTACTCTGTATTCGGCCAATGGCAAAATTATTCGTTTAGGATTCTTATACCCCTGTGGGCATCAGCAACACCCTTAATGAGCCACTAATCCGTACTAGGGAAGGAATCACCCCAATTCCAGCAGCCACTTTCAAGGGAAGTTGGTCTGGCTTCTTTTACGGTGTGCTTCTGACCGGCAGCTAAAGACTGTATTATTTTTTTAAAAAATTGCTAGCTAGAACTATTGCACTTTTAAAAAAAATGTATTTTGAATAGTGTTCTGGGTCTGCTTTTAAGTATATTTTTTTCAGTTAAATGTTTTATATTTTTTGCTGTTGATTAATGTTATTGAACTCTTCTTAATCGCTTCAATCTATAGCAAATTCCTCTGGTGGACAGGAAGCTAATGAACAAAGACATACATATATTTGTATGCATGTACGTGTGTATTCCCTCCTGGGAAATAGAAGGGGAAGACATGGAGGCAGTGACAAATTTTACTTTCTTGGGCTCCATGATCACTGCAGATGGAGACAGCAGCCACGAAATTAAAAGAAGCCTGCTTCTTGGGAGGAAAGCGATGACAAACCTTGGGAGGAAAGCGATGACAAACCTTG